CTCGGTGATGGAAACTGTGGGTTTCGAACGGTAGCTGTTAGTCTAGGGCACAGTGAAGATCAATGGCTATACATTCAGAAACAATTGCTTGAAGAGTTACAAAGTCAATTTTATGCATACCCACAAGTTTTTACTGACGGGTTCAATGAGGTATACGAATCTTTGTGTTGGTTCGAATCACCTGCATATTTGCAACATTGGACGATCAGGCCTTTGACTGGTTACTTGATTGCCAACAAGTTTGGTGTGATTGTTCATTGTCTAAGCCATGAACAATCTACAACCTGCTTCCCTATTTGGAGAGGTCCTGAAGAGTTTCAACCTCACTGAAGCATTACAGCGGCACTTGTAGGCAGACATTATATTTCGGTGTCTTTAAAAGGAAATTATCCAATGCCTCCCACCATAACATATTGGAATGCTCATAAAAGCTCGTCTGCATCTTTCTGGCAAACTATGTATTGGTCGCGTTTCGAATTATACAATAAACATAGGCCTCGTAGTTCTGAAATACCTTGGATACATATCAAGGATTAAGTATGAATGTATTTGAACTCTTTTGATATGTATTGCTTTCAAAATTTTGTTTTATTATTAGTATGCCATATTTGTAGTCTTTTGTTATAATATTTTTAAATAAAACGATTTTAATAAATTACATACAAATAACATAAAAAATATATAAAAAAATTATATTTAACCTATTTTATTTTGCAAGTTTAATAACCTAAAAATATATAAAAAAATTATATTTAACCTATTTTATTTTGCAAGTTTAATAACCTAAAAAATATAAAAAAATTATATTTAACCTATTTTATTTTGCAAGTTTAAAAAAAATTATTAGAATACTTTTATATAAAAAGGTATTATGATTTGTAAAAAAAATCAACATTATGTACTAAGTAGTTAATAATTATAAATAAAAGACATAAATACTTTTATATTAAAAGGTATTATGATTTGTAAAAAAAATCATCATTATTTACTAAGTAGTTAATAATTATAAATAAAAGACATAAATATTTTTATATAAAAAGGTATTATGATTTGTAAAAGAATTCATCATTATTTAGTAAGTGGTTAATAATTATAAATAAAAGACATAAAATTGTTATGTAATGATGGTTATTAAAAGGTAATTATTATATAATAATTTGTTTATTTAAGGAAATAAAGTAAGGTAATGATGATGGGGTCATTTAAGATTAGACTATAATTATCCCTATCCTTTGCTACTTATTTATATCCCATAATAATTACTTTTTAATAAGTAAGCTATAATTACATATTTTTTTATTAATTATTATTACTTTTAATAATTAAATTATGATTACATATAAGATTAATAGTTTTTTTAATATATCAATAATTATAGATAAATTTTAATATAAAAAGATATAAAAATATTAACTTAGACATTTTGTTTAAATTTGGATAAAATGTATAAAAGTTAAAAAATAAAAGGGTTCAAATAGATATTTTGGTATATATAGTTAGAGTTTTAGGGTTTGGTATTTTCTCATTCATCATGTAGCCGCCAAGTCCAGTTTTTTCTCTCAAACTTTTTTATTTCTCTGATCCTCCATCCGGTGTGTGATGGCTCGCCGACGATGCCAGAAAAAGAAGCAACAAACGACATTGTTGTTGGTCGTGTGCGGTGGTGGAGAAGTCCAACGGGTTATTCACGGTGGTGAACCAGCGAAAGACACGATGCGGTGGTCCGACAGTGAGCAACAACAGATCTGACAGTGTTTGTTGGGGGTCTGCGGTCCGACGGTAGTCGGATATGGCTCTCTCGAGCTCTGTTGATCTGTCTCTCCCTCTTATTCTGTCTTTCTCGATCTTTATGGCAGGTGACCGACGGTAGCGTTGCCCACAGTGCTTAGTGGTGGCGTATTGTCGCCGGCGTTCGTTAGTGGCGAGTGAAGGGTGCCGACTTTTGTTTATTATTTATGTATTGCATGTAATAAGTTAAAACTTATTTTGCATATTGTATTATTAATAATTATTTTGATTATTTATGTTTCAATTAAGGGATGCACAGTTTTAAAAATATTGTTTAGACAGAAATAATGATTACGTGCATATAAAAATGATTACGTGCATATATACTTTCGGTGTATTAAAAGTAGCGATTTATATTCATTTGGCCAAAATATGAAAAAGATGTAATAAATAGATGATTTTAAATTATTTTACCAGAAAAGTAATAATGAGTGGGGTATATTAAATAAATCAAGGGAAGGAATAACAATACCTTAAGATTATTTAAAGGGTCTAATTAGATAGATGACCCCTTTTGATTTGTTAAACACACTTTTTAATACCGTCCTCAAAGCTAGGGACGTAATAATTAACTACCAAGAATAGGCAAAACAATAAAATACATTTAATATTAGGGAAAACCACTCTAAAACCCTATGTATTTTATCTCAATGCCTAAATAAACCATTATATTTATTTTATGTACAACTTAACCCTTACTAATATTTAAACCGTTTAACCTATCTAATTTATCCGATAAACCCTAACCACGTTATTATCAATGTACGGGAAAACCCTTCGTCATTTGTAGGCTGCCATCGGACATACCGAAAAGAAGAAAGGAAGCAGACTCGAGCAAAAAGCTTATTGGATCAGGGGAAGCTTCACGAAAAAAAAGATAATCGATCAATCCTTGTTGTTTATTCTGTTCGTCAAAGGCATGAGCTCCCGTTTTTTTTCTTAATTTGTTGTTTGCATTTATTGTTTAAGGAAGTCGTAACCATCGACGATGTTTTCAAGTTCCCATCAAGTAGTTGAAGTGTATATGGATGGTTTGAATGGCATAGATGATGAGTCTGAAGCGGAAGAATATGTTCATTCTTCAATGGACAAGACAATATGAGATCTTTTTTTGAATGATTTGGTACAAGGAGAAATGGAAAACTGTCATCTGATGATGTTGAATTGAGCTATTCAGATGAAGAATTTGACAAATGAGAGCACAAAAACACATTTTGATGGAAGACCCCTAAGAGGACCAGTTGTAACTACAAGTGGTGGTACAGGAGGAAGACGACCAATGATGCAATTTCCTGAATCTCAATTTGATGAAGAAGTTCCTATAACTCAAGATGATGTGGTGCCTGAACATAGTCACAGGATTCGCCAAAGTAGTGACGATCTACGTTCCGAACGGCCCGATCCCAAACGTGGTACGATTGCGTACCGATCACCGACAGAAACGCCCTAGGGTACGTCTTGCATGCGATCCCACCAATTTTCTAAATCGATACCTGAAACGTGAAATTGGCGAATCGGATTGCACAGAAACACGATTGGGATCGGCAATTTTGGTTCTGGAACGCCGATTTGTGAAATTGGCGGGAAATTGATTTCATCTGGGGAAAATTCGCCGACGCTTGGTTTCTTTGTTCAAGTCCTCGATTCCATGTTAGATGTTTAGACTTAGATATATGATTCGTCTTATCACTTTTAAATAGTTATATAATAGCCATGCCACTTATCTAAATATCATCACTTCATCATGATTCCACTTCTTCCACTTCTGTTCTACGTTCTTATGTTTTGAGCCCTCATATCCTCTCCTATCTTTTGTTTCTTTATTATTTTTCATCTTTGAAATTGGTTTTTAGTACGTCTTTTAAGTGTTAACTTAAAATTTCTATTTTTAGGTATAAAATTGTTTATAAGTAAACTTGCATTTCTGTTTTTAAGTTAACTATTGCTGGAATTATGTTTTGAACATGTCTACACCGTATCAGATTCTATGGTACACCGTACCGGGCCGTACCGGAATGAACCTACCCCCACCGTATCCGATACGTCCTAAATGGCGAACCGCGTTCCCGATCCTCGTTCCCGTACCGGAGCGTACCGCGAACTATGTGACTATGTGCCTGAAACTCAATTTCATTGATTTGGGCAAAACTGTCATGTTTTGGAACAAAAATTCAACCTTGAATGTTTTTGTTTGATTTGGTTATGTTTGTTTGATTTGGGCAACACTGTCATGTATTGGGTAAAACTGTCATGTTTTGGGACAAAAATCCAACCTGCAATGTGTTTGTTTGATTCGATTCGGTTTCTTTTATTCGGTTAAATTTATGTTTATTTCTATTTAGTTTTGTTTGTTTTGGACAAAAACATGTAATTATACTCAATTTTATGTTAATGGTGGTTGTTTGGTGTGCTAAAAAACCGAAAGCATCAGCAAGGGCAAAATCGTCAAACATCTATTTGTATTGAACAGATGTTTACTCATTCTATTTCTGTTTCTGATTTGGCTTCTCCAGAACCTGAACCAAACATCTGTTTTTATTGATTTGGCTTTTCCACATTTATATTTTTACTTATTTTTACCAAATGTTCTAAACATCTGTTTGTAGATAATCCAGATATTCAGTTTATTTATCGGCAGATATGAATCAGAAGGCCAACGTATCCACGTAGCTCAATGCTAAGCACAAAAAATTATTTATTCATTTCTTGTCACCTTTACTTTTACCTCTGCATTTGATGCTTGATTTCTTGGATCATGATTTTTTCTTTTGATGCGCATTTGGAAGGATTTGGTACCAAATCGATGGTGTTTTATGATCTCATATTTTCCTGCATAGTCGATGAGATTCTCCAGAACCTGAACCAAACATTTGTTTTTACTACCAAATTTTGACCAAATTGCACCTTCACAAATTTTTGATTCCATTTTCCTGCATAATCTTGATGTTACAATCTATTAAATTACATTCTAGTCTTGATTCCATTATAATCTTAATTCCATTCTAATCTTGATTCCATTCCATATTAATCAAATGAACCATAACAAAAATGTCAAAAACGTCCGACTATAACACAAGGGTAAAACTGTCCAACTATAACAAAGGAACCTAATACAATCCAAGTACTCACAAAACTACATTATCTTCATACAACAAAAGTGTATAATAAACCAACATCACAATTCCATTACAAATGTGCTTAATAAACCAACATCACAATTCCATTACAGAAGTTAGGAAAAGGGTAAAACCGTCCATAGACTCACACAAAAGTTCCAGATGTACTCGACAATTCTCCATATCCATATTCTTCTTTGAAAGGTTCATATTTTCCTTGAACAATTCCATATTCTCCCTATGCAACTCATTAAATTTACTCTTATACCAATGCATACCCAAATCCTCATCTACCCATACAAAAGATTTACAATCTTTTGAAGGATCCTACAAAAAAATGTAGTATCTGAGTAAACATTACAAAAACCAAATCAATCAAGGCTAGAATTTCATATACCAGAGAATTTGGGTACCGAATGAAATGCCGGCCAGGTTTCTTCCTGGTAGTCGAAGTCCATATTTTTGGTTGTTCACCACAATTACACAACAAGTTTTTATAGTTTGAAGTTAAGGAAGAAGAAGAAGAACCACTTGATCGATCACCGATTCTGCAATAGTTGCGAGGAAAGAAGAAAACGATGAGGAACGACATGGTGATTTTGAAGCTGGCAACATCTTTTTAACCTTACAAACATATATAACATATTGTCTTTTATTAATTTCATTTTTGAATATATTTATTTCATGTTATTTTTAATATAAATAATCTATCTCACATATAAACAAATTCGACATGTATGATCCTTCATTAGTTATATTGTTTTCTACTTTTTCTTTTAACATTAACTATCATTATTTTGATCTTTTTTAGTTTTATATATATATATATATATATATATATATATATATATATATATATATATATATATATATAAAGTTTTGAAATAAAATAATAAAGTATTAACATTAAATAAAAGCATTTAGTCTTTATGACTATTTATTTATTTTTTAATCATTTGTTTATTTAATCTTTCATATTTTCATATCAAGCGACGAAAGAAATTGTTAAATCGAATTTGTTGTTGAAGTGAAATGATATCTCCAAATGGTACATTGATAACCATTTTATTTACCAAATGTTGGGCATTAAAACACCCAAATTCGTCGACATAACCACACAAAATTATTGTTATTTGTATTTGTCACGGATTTTTGTTATGTAATATTTAAAATTAAAAAATGATGATGGTTTGTTCGGAATTTATTTTTCTTATAATATTATTTATACTATCAATGATATTAGGTTGATGAAAATTAATTTGGAATTTTATTTTTTTTATAATATTAGTTATATTATTATATCATAGATGACATGGATAAGGTAAAAAAATTATATTTGTTAACGACTAAAAACAAGATAAATATTGACAAAATTTTATTTTTTATAATACTATTTATTTTGTTATATTATAAAAAGTAAATATTATTGTTTTTTATCTTAATAAAAAATAAATTTAAAATTATTAATATTAATAAAGTTAACAATAAAAATATAATTATTAAATAATAAAATTTTATTGATTATGTTATAATGAAATAATGATAAAATGTGGTCAAAATAATAATTATATTGTAATCATAACTTAAAAAGTAATGCAAATAATAATTATATGGTAATAATTTGTCATCATTCACCTAAAAATAAGCTCAATGATATAGGTTGATGTTGTAGGTTGGTGTGTCCATAGTATAACCATTCTCCAATACACGAAAAGTTATCGAGAGAAGCGTAACAATCGACTTCTTCCTCCTCGTCTTCTACAGGCTACGAACTGACGTTTCATTTCCCTAGACGCGGATTCACGATGGCTACCTATCATTTCTTTAATTTTTTGTAAAATTAGTTGTTTTGGGCCAGAAATATATGTAGGTTCTTGAAATGGGCTAAAGTTCTGCCCTTTTATGTTTACTTCCATTGGCCTTGGACCTACTCGAAGGGGAAATTATAGTTTTGCATTTTGAACTATAAAATCCTTGTAATACCTGACTAGGTTTATTGGTGTATTATGTATTATATATTGTGATAACTACTTGTATGTTGTGCTTAATATGAATGTACACCTAGTCATTTTGTACTTTAAAAGTGAATTTTTTTTGGTGTCTTTCTTGGTAAACTGTTGGGCATTACATGTAGTGACAAGATTGTTAAAATGTGTGCGGCAAAATAAGTCGGCTAAGAATGTGAAAACTAAATAATTGTTACATACATGCTCACTTATCGAGACAACACAATCAACATAGATTTTTGCACATTGTAAATAGGTCATGACAGGCTCATCACTTCCAATTTCAAGTTAAAGGATATTGGTTTTCAGAGTGAGGTCGTGAGAGAGTAGTTGACTCATAGGCACGATGTATATCTCATAAGAGGTACGTTGTTTTTTTTTTTTTTTTTTTTTTCTTTTTTTTTGTAGAATACACCATATTTTTTTCTGATAAATTGATTAGAACATGACCAAATTTAGATGGTGGTTGTTTTCATTCTAGATTGAGACTCGGCGTTTTACCATCCAAATGTTTATAACAATGACATTAACTAATTGATCCATCAAGGTTAGAGCCGACAAAAAACATTCCAAATCATACCCCTAACCCAAATCAAAGTTAGATCCGTGAGGTTGATATTTTAAAAGCATTCCAAATCATCCCGCCCACCTAAAAGGTTGAGAACGCGAGAACACGTATATTCATTTGTGATTACATGTATTCATTTGTGGAGAAATGATAAATTTTTACGTACAATCAACATAATATGCTTTTTCTCTTCAATTGAAATTAAATAAATTAAAGGCGTAAAAATTTATCATTTATCCACAAATTAATACATGGAATCACAAATGAATATACTTTGTTCTCGCGTTCTCAACCTCTTTGGTGTTCTTATTTGATCCTACTCATATATATAGGGGTGTGCAATAAACTGCCCGCACCGCACCAAACCGCACCGCATAACGCAGTTTAAAACACTCGCGGTGCGGTTTGCGGTTCGTATTTTTGTTAAACCGCATTATGCGGTGCGGTTTGCGGTTTACGATTACAAAATTGCGGTTTAAACCGCACCGCATTGATAAAATCAATTAATGATTATATATATATATATATATATATATATATATATATATATATATATATATATATATTCGAAAATAATTTGACAAGTCCTAAATTAGTGACATTATCTTAAGTTTTTGAAATGTAATATTAATTAATCCAAAATTTAATGGAAATTTTAATGGAATGACCATATTTTTTTGTCTCAAATTTATTTTCAACTAATATTCAGTGACCATTATTTTATACACTATGTTTTCTTAACTTATGTATATTCATAAGTATTTAATGACCACAATTCTATGACCACCAAATTTCTTAATGACAACTTAGTGAGCCGTTAGTGACGACAATGATAGTATTGTCATTAAATTTAATGTAAATAATTACCCAAACCGCAAAACCGCATAAACCGCCCGCACCAAACCGCAACGCATAATGCGGTTTTGAACGTTCGCGGTGCGGTTTGCGGTTTGCGGTTTTGGCTCTAAACCACACCAAACCGCACCGCGCACACCCCTATATATATATATATATATATATATATATATATATATATATAATATATATACAGATATATATATATATATATATATATATATATATATATATATTATCTATATATATATATATATTATATATATCTATATATATATAATATATTATATATATATATATAGGGACTAGGTTCCTAGCCAAGCCAGGGAATCTACGACCGATTGTCAAAAAATATCCCACTACGGGGTAATAAGCAAGGAAGGAGTGCCACTTTCAAAAATTCTTTTTTAGTTAAATCACCCGCCGAAGCGAATCCTTCGAAATAGCCAAGCCAGTAAGTAGAAAGGCAAGGTGACCACAGGGAAAGGCATTACCAGAAGGAAAGTAGTCCAACTCTATGTCTTACGCATCAGTGGAATTTGAGTGAAAGCAGTAAGTCAGTGGCCAAGAATCATCGATTTTTGAGTTACCAGCTCAAGGAAGCTCATGGGAATTTCTTTAAGTAAGAACGATCTCCAGTGTCATCCTCTTCGTATTCTCTTTAGTAAAGCAAGTCCCATCGAGTGGAGTCAAGGCATGCCTTAAGGTAGCAACTGAATTTCAGGTGAGATGGTTCAATAGTAGATTAGATAAAGGCCGTTGCTACTTCCCACGAGGGGAGGAAAGTCAATAGCATAGATAAGGAAGTGGCTATTCTTGTTTGTTCATGACTCCGCTGCGCTCCTCTTTCATGGAATAAGCGCCTTTTCTCTTACAGACAAAAGAAATGGATTTTTTCCGACTAGCTCGAAGGGAAGGAAAGAGCGCTATAAGAGAAAGAGTGCCTCGAGAATAGGCTTTTGGTATTTTTACTGAAAGCAGAGGAAGCATTCGATGCATCATATAAAAAAAAGTACAGCTGCCAGAGCCCCGTATTTACCAGCGGGGGTCCCGAGATATTCTATATATTAAAAAACTGGTCTTTGGCCACGCAAAAAACCTTTCACTGTAGACATTTTATGACAAATTTTTTTTCATTCATTGTGAAATGAAAGGTCCCATCATTAAAGGTAAGTTATGATGACGTTTAATTGTGGTGATTATAACCCACAAAAACCGTTACTATATGTAAAAACTGTCACAATAGGGTACCGATTTTTTTTTCAATCATTTTTCGATAACCGTCACCATAAACTACTTTCACTCACAAGTTTTTTTGTTTTCATGACTATTTTTGGCTTTTAGTGACACGTAATATATTAAAATGACCATAAACTAGTATTAGTCACATGTTTTTTCATTGGTCATGACTATTGTTGACTTTTAGTGACACGTAACCATAAACTACTTTTAGTCACACGTTTTGTTCGTTTGTCATGACTATTTTTGACTTTTAGTGACACATCATTTATTAAACTGTGGCCATAAACTACTCTTATTCACATGTTTTTTCGTTTGTCATAACTATTATTTACTTTTAGTGACACATAATAGATTAAACGGTGACTATTATTGACATTCAATCACACTTTTTGTTTGTCATAACAACATACTTTTCGGTTTTTACTGCCCAAACATTTTTTGTTTTATTTTGAAAAACTTTCGAGTGTTTGTTCAAACCATTTTCTATAGTTCTTTGATTTTAATAAAATCCTTCATCCGTCACATTCACATTTTCTTCGTTTACCAACTTGTTTAGTTCAGGTCCAACTTTATCACCATTTCCTTTGGTGACGAGTACTTGATTTGGACACACTTCATCATCAGTATCTTTGAACCTTGGATAAACCACTACATTTTGTTCGAGATAATATGAATTTTTGTCTTTCAACATTTTGTGTATTCTTTCGAGTCTTAAAAACTTGATCTTCCACTACTCGTGGAATTGGTTTCTCATTCGAAACTTCATCATCATCACTCACATAATCCTCAACAACAACAATATCTTGAAAATCACAGTTTTGGTTGTCGAAGATTGATCATTGTTTAATTTCGTCACAAGATCATTATTATCTTTGCCTTTAGCCGTTGAAGTGACATTAATGACAGACAATCGTGAACAAT